CGGGCGGCAGCAAAAGGCCGGCTTTGGCGGCCCCCGCGGGCTGCTTGCAAGGAGAAGGGGAGGCATGTTCAGCCCCCTGAATGGGGGATGCTCCTGCCCAGGGATGCACTGCGCGGGGGGAGCAGCCCCGGGCCCTGCCCCGCAGCATCCTTCAGCACCAGCCTCCTCTGTCCCCCAGCACCCACCTGTGAGCATGTGCTGCGCACCCTGCGAGACCCCCGCAGGGCTGTGCCAGGTGTGCCCGACACTGGAAACAGTCTCCAACCCCGTTGGCAGGATGCAAGAGGAGCAAGAGGGCACGTAGGGATCTCAGCCCCTGCTAGTAATGGCCCACCATCTCCACAGCACCCCATGGAGATGCCCCACCATTTCCAAGTACCCCATGGAGATGCCCCACCACCTCCTGGTACCCCATGGAAATGCCTTACCATTTCCCAGTACTCTGAGATGCCCTCCTCACCTCCCAGGACCCCATGGAGATACCCTACCATCTCCTGGCACTCCATGGAGATGCCCCACCATCTCTCAGCACCCCATGGAAATGCCTTACTATTTCCCAGTACCCCATGGAGATGCCCCCATCATTTCCCAGTACCCCATGGAGATGCCATACCACCTCCTGGCACTCTATGGAGATGCACCACCATCTCTCAGCACGCCATGAAGATGCCCCACTATTTCCCAGTACCCCATGGAGATGCCCCCATCATTTCCCAGTACCCCATGGAGATGCCCTACCACCTCCTGGCACTCTATGGAGTTGCACCACCATCTCTCAGCACCCCATGCACATGCCCCACGATTTTCCAGTACCCCGTGGAGATGCCCCTCCACCTCCTGGTACCCCATGGAAATGCCTTACCATTTCCCAGTACTCTGAGATGCCCTCCTCACCTCCCAGGACCCCATGGAGATACCCTACCATCTCCTGGCACTCCATGGAGATGCCCCACCATCTCTCAGCACCCCATGGAAATGCCTTACTATTTCCCAGTACCCCATGGAGATGCCCCCATCATTTCCCAGTACCCCATGGAGATGCCATACCACCTCCTGGCACTCTATGGAGATGCACCACCATCTCTCAGCACGCCATGAAGATGCCCCACTATTTCCCAGTACCCCATGGAGATGCCCCACCACTTCCTGGTACCCCATGGAAATGCCTTACCATTTCCCAGTACTCTGTGGAGATGCCCCCATCACCTCCCAGGACCCCATGCAGATACTCTACCAACTCCTGGCACTTCATGGAGATGCCCCACCATCTCTCAGCACCCCATGGAGATACCCTACCACCTCCTGGCACTCTATGGAGATGCACTACCATCTCCTGGTACCCCATGGAAGTGCCTTACTATTTCCCAGTACCCCATGGAGATGGCCCCATCATTTCCCAGTACCCCATGGAGATGCCCTACCACCTCCTGGCACTCTATGGAGTTGCACCACCATCTCTCAGCACCCCATGCACATGCCCCACGATTTTCCAGTACCCCGTGGAGATGCCCCACCATCTCCTGGTACCCCATGGAAATGCCTTACCATTTCCCAGTACCCCATGGAGATGGCCCCATCATTTCCCAGTACCCCATGGTGATGCCTTGTATCTTCCAGTCCCCACATGGGCACCCTTCCTTCTCCCATGCCACCCCTCCCAGCTGGCACACCCCAGGTGCTGCATCACCACCTCATGGCTCTATCTCAGCCTGCAAAAGAGCTGTCTGGAAAGAGGACCTCCTTCCAACTCCAGAGGCACAGGGGAGGAGGAAAGCCCTTGCTAGGAGGGAGTGTGTGGGCTGGGCTGGGATCCTGTGTGATCAATAAGTCACCCTCTGTAATTGTAACTGCCTGCACGACTGTGAAACAACAGATTGTGCTGAAAATGTATAGGCACTTGTTTGTGACTTGTTTACATGGTCTCTTTTCCCACTGATAAAAGCAGATCCTGCTTACACTGATTTATTTCTAATGAGCCGTCCCTCCAGCCCCCATACGTTATGGCAGGAGAGTGACCTGTGTGCTCTGCTGGAATTGTTCCAAAGCCAGTTTTTAGTGCGCACACGAAATATTTGCCTTCAGTCTGTTTATCTTGCATTTTAACAACCCTCTCTCTCTCTTTTCAGTCAAAATGACTGATTCAGTGGCAACATAAATGCGCAGGGAGGCGACTTGAGCTGTAGCCCAAGCAGAGATCAAAGCTGGACAAAATTGGTCATTTCCTTGAAAAAGATAGCGGAGAAAATGACAGGTTTTCATTTTTTTTTAACTGAAGATTTTCCTCTTCCACTATTTTAATTGTGGAGTTGAGAAGAAAGAAAACCCAAAATTTCTTTTTTTTTTTGTGCTTTTCTCATTGTTATTGCAAACTCACCAAAAACCAAACAAACAAAACCCCAGCTGAAAACCTTCCATTACTGGCCAAAATCTTTTTTTTTTTTTAATATAGAAATGTTTCAGGGTCAAAAACAATCTATCAGCATTATTATTTAGCATTGTTTCTTGCTGGGAAATTAAGTTCATCTTGGTATCATTTGAGTTTCAGGATATTTGTCGCCTTATCTGCATAGCTCTAGATAGATTCCCCCTCCAGATAAATCTATCTAGTCTGATCTATTTATTTTCCCATAGAGATAATGAAAACACATACATTTTTTCCACAATTAAGGCTGAGCAGATTTTTGTGCGGTAGTGCAGTATTCAGTTTGAAGGCAGATGTCACTCATAATCAATATGGCACCATAGGGTAAAACTTTGATTGTCTGGAGACCTTAGGGCTTGTTGGCTTGCAGAGTTGCAGTGGCGTCACTGAACATTCGATTTTAAACTGATTTTGTTCAGCTGGTCCAAGGGCTGGGTGGAAGACTTGGAGTCATTCATGGGTTAACCAGTGGTACATTGTGCTGCTCTAATTTAAAAATGCTGCAGATATAGAAATACAGGGCTGGAAAGGGTCATCTCTATCAGTCCTTGATAACCACACACAACACTTCCCACCTTAGGGCCAAGTTTGCTGCCGGATAAAACAGGCTTTAAAATACCTGCTTGTCAACCTGCTTGGCAGTGAGAAGCCCCAATATGATTTGGTCTAAGATTATGCCTCCTACTTGACCCCTCCATCCACGTGTTCATGGCCAACTTTCTATTTAAACTGGGATTACTTGGTTTAGAGAAAACTGTTGAGGAAACAACCCACTCTGTAACCCAAATAACCCACTCCTGAGTGTCCACACTCACACTTGCCCTGGCTTGATTTGAGGTAACGTGCAAATCTGTGGGTAGACAAGACCAAAAAACACCAATCCTCTCAGTTCCTGATTTGAAGGTGCAAAATCTTTGCCTTTTGACAATTGAGGGTGCTTGACACATACTTGCTCAGTCTCCTCTAGCTTTCATTTGACTTCATACGTACCACTTGGCATGGCAGGCGAATGCAGAGCCAAAGACAGTCTTGTGAAGGGGGCGGCTTTTACAATTAAAATAAGACATTAACAAAAAACCCCAAAACAGCCCATCAGTTGGCTCCTATTATTTGTTGTTAACATTTGTATAGTAGGAACACCACAGGAGGCAACAGATTAAACAATTATTTGGAAAAGGGACGGATTTAAAAAAAATATTAAAAAACCCCAAGGACTTCACATTTCACTCAGTCAGATATGTGCTCTGAGATGCTTCCAAAAGCCACAATGGGCAATTATGGTAAGTGGTTTCTAACCTTAGGAGCTCACGCATTCCAGAAAGGTTAAAAAGGCCACAACCAGCACAGGGGGAATGCTGGGAAAGCAGTGGATGACTTGGGTTATGCGGCTCTGTGTCCAAATGAGAGAATTGTGCTGACAAGTTGAACTAAGTTCACTTTTAGCTTTATTGCCTCTCTTGCGTGAACCTGCTTGAGTGAACGGCTCTGCCAAACTCGAACGAGGCTTTTGCTTGTGGACATGAGTTGAGTTCAGGGCAACGTTTGAGCTACGAAGCTCAAATGACCTTTAAAGGAGCGATCCCCTTTGCGTGGTTCAGGCAATTCAATGCGGGTGCTTATTACCCAGTCCCCTGATGGGAAAAGTGGAGCTGGAACAGGTTTCCGTCTTACAGCACATTGCAAAGAGGGCATTTCAGTGGTAGGAGCGTGGACAAGCTGGAATATGCAGCCAGTATGCGATCTGCTGGGCTTAAGTTTAATTTTGTAGCAGCAGTAATATCCCTGTGTAGAAAAAAAGCAGAATCTCAAGGAAAGGGAAGAAGGAAAGAAAAGCTTACGAACCAGTTGAACGGTTATATTTTCAAGATGCTTCTTAGCATAGCCTGGAAGACTCCATTATTAAGGCTGCTTCTGATGAACCGTTACAAAACGTCAGGGTAGAAATTAGTTTGGATCATGGGGAAAAGCATGCAAGAGCCAAAGCAGCATGTGCCGCAGGAGATGATAGATTGTCAAAGTCCTCTGAGCTCAGTCTGTCCGCTATGTACCATCAAACAAGTGAAGTGTGGC